GCAGAGGCGCTAGGGCCCCAAACTACACGACCCTTGACATAAGAACCCCTGAGTACAGTACCCCCAGTGCTAAGAGTCGAAGAGCCGACACGAGGCCCTAGGGCAACGAGCCTTCACATCAAGTGGTGTTTGGGGTCTCTGTCGGACAGTTTCATGTTGGGATGTCTTTCCGGATCTGACGTCTTACTGTAGGGCTTAGAGCTCTGCAGGGGCTCGGTTATTTGGGCTTCGGGTTCAGAGTGATGCGGGGGCGTCAGCCAGCCTGTCATACATCCCAAGACCCTGCCTTCCTCCTGAACCCCCTCTTGCACCCCGAGGCTCCCCCACTTTGTAAGGGCTTTGGAGGAAGGGTATTCTTTGAGCTTTCGATGAGCTTCTGGTGGGTTCTATATGGGCATGTTTCGGTCTGTTAAAGCACACGGCCCAAACCTGGAACCCTCTGGCCCAAGGGGGCGAGAAGCACAAGTCTTTTCAGCCCTCCGAGCCCTCGTACTATAGGGGCCTCAAAAAAATTACCTGTAGTAGTTGTGGGGGTTTGTTATTATAACTATATTCTAAAGGACCCCCAAAACCCTATTCCAAATAAAAGGGACCCTACATTACGGCCCTAAATCCAGGAGCCCACACCCCCTGAAAACCGCGGAGCTCCCCACCGCATAAGGGATGAATCTGCAGTGACAATTCCCACAAGAAGAGACGCTCTATTTTAAGGAAGAGCCTTTAGGTTAAGGAAGGGCCTTTAGGTTCAGGAAGGGCCTTTAGGTTAAGGAAGTTAGCTGAGTCTAATAAGTTTAGGCCGCGAGCCTGTGTTTCAGACGATACGAAAGGGTTTAGGAGTGGTTTAGGATACCTCCAAGAAGATAGACAGTCTGTTTACGACTAAAGTTCACGAGGTTTCGGTAAAGAATTGCAAGCCTTAGGTCTTCAAGAAGGCCCCAAGCCTTACCTGAGCCAGAAAGCTCAATCAGACTTTCAATGCCATGACATCGCCCTGGACCGCGCAGCCCCCGTATGGTGGCAGCGGTGGCTGCAGGGAGTATAGACTTGGTATGTATTTGGGTATTTTAGTTCTTTCTGATTCCATGGTGAGGGGTGGGAGCTGTCGTGGCAGTGCTGCTGTTGCTGATACCCTAAACCCTAAACCCTAAACCCGACAAAAAAAGCCCTAAAGCCCTAAACCCTTAAACCCCTAAACCCTAAAACCCTACACCCCTAAACCCTAAATCCACAGTTTCGAAGTTCTGAGCTTTTTTTCCAGGATCGGGCTCCTTCACAGCGAAGCGGCCTGGCATCCAGAATGGGCCATGGCCATGCGGAAGGAAGGCTACGGTTGATGATATAAATCCTGCATTACCTTAAGGACCCTAAACTCTGGGATTTTTTGGTATATTCCTTCTTATGGGCAATGGAGGATTTATACATCATCAACAGTCGTTATTTCCACGACTGGCCCGACTTGGGGGGAGCTGTAGGGGCTGGGATAGTAGTCTCTTCAGGTCTTCAGGTGCTTTGGACCTTGGAGCTGTGGAGGAGATGGAGGGTTTAGGGTTTAGGGTTTAGTGTTTAGGGTTTAGCGGTTTAGCGGTTTAGGGTTGGATTTCAGCAAGGATTTGCCGTTTTTGAGAGGTTTCAGGCTTTCGTGGGAACAGAATGTGCCGGTGGAGGCCTTCGGGCGGGTTTGCAAGCGTTCGCCGTGGGCAAGGGTTGAGGAGTGCCGTTGTTGTGGGAAATCATCGAAACTCAAGATTTTGGCGACCACTGCCTGACCACCTTGTGACGGAATCGAGTCGTGGTTGGTGCCACGTTGACATCGCCTGCACTCTGCGCTGAGACCGATGCCCCTGCACGTCAAAGCATTGTCAGCCCACCAACCGCCGACTGCTTAATGTTTGAAAATCAGTGTGTTCTGAACAAGCCTTCTCTCGTAAGACGCCGAAATAGCTGGAGTCTTAACTCCCTTTTGAGGGTCGAAGAGAGTATTTGGCTCTATTAGGCTCTTATGATATCTGCAAAGCAACCCAATTTGCAAGCGACACAGTTGCTATTACAGAAACCAATCCCCTCTCATGGAATCAACCATGCGGAGCGGAGCCACAAACTTTCGGGATAAAACGATCATCACGGCAACACTATGGTAGGTAGTACTGGTCATCGTCGGAGTGTTTATGATGATCGCCGTACATACTTCTCGTGACCATCATCTTCGCCAGCACTACCACGGCCGTCATCATTGTCGTCAGAGCCCTCCTCACATTCAGTGTTTCAGGTTGACAAGTGTAAAGCCTGATCCCGCGCATGAGGTATGTTGCCATGTGCTTCTGCAAGCGCGTCCGCTTCGAGGTGAGCGACTGTCAGGGCAACATTCGCCTGTGGTAGCGGCAGCGGCGTGTATGACAGTTCTCGGGGTCCGAAGTCTTCACTCCCAGAAGCCTCCTAAACCCCAAACCCCAAGCCCCAAACCCTAAACCCTCAAACCCTAAACCCTAAACCCCAAACCCCAAACCCTAAACCCTAAACCCTAAACCCTAAAAGTTCCTGAGGCCCCCAGGTCTGATGTTCTTTACCGTTCAGCTCCCCCGCTCCAGGATGGCCAGGAAGCCCCAAAGCCCCCCCGGGGCAGAACACGCAGGTGAATGCAGAGCCCGTGACTTCAAAGTGACTCAGCCTGCTTGGATATCTTTTCAGGCCCTTTCTGGCCAGCGGCTCATTTACATAATAGGGTCTGTCTGTGTGCCGAGGTAAAGAATACTAACCTGATTACCTAGACATGGGCTTATGCGCGTAATGTATGATGGTGCATGCATAATTACTCATCATACTCACCACACCAGCAACAGCGGTGATGAAAACATCCAGTGCAGTATTAGTGCGTATAGTTGTGAGGGCAGGAAGCACAGCTGCCGTCACTGTAGCATAACTACCGTCATCACCATCATCATCATGATCATGGTCATTACCGTCATCATGTCCTCCTCCTCCTCCTCCTCCTCCTCCTCCCCCCCATCATCATCATCGTCATCATCACCATAATCATCATGATTATGCTCATCGTCATGGTCATCGCAAGAGTCATGGTCCTGAATGCATGAGTATTGAACCTTGAACCTATACCCCAGACCCTGCTGCAGCAGGACCGGTAACCATGCAGTTGCGGCAGGATCCTAATCTTTCAGCCCGAAGCCCCCGAACCCTACCAGTAGACCCCAACCCGGAATCCTAGACCCTCGACCCTCTTTCGTGAAGCCTTAAACCCAAGGCCGTGAAGGCTATGGGATCTTCGTTGTGGTAGACTCCTTACACCTTCCGGGTTAAGCAGTTTAGAGTTGGGTAGTTTTGGGTTTAGGGATCGGGTTTTAATTAGGGCTTAAGGGCGCAAGGCTTAGGGTGTTAGAGCTCAGCGGCTTCGCGTTTAGGAATATCAGAGCCCGGTACTCAAACCGAGAGCAGTTGCTAAGGATGTGTATAAGCCTGGGGCACTGGAACTGTAATGCCCAACTCTTAAACCTTAAGCAATAAGACCGGGGCCCAGCACCCATATAGCGTTCTTCTGGTATCCCTCTAGAACGCTTGAAAGAACGCTAAATACAGAACTGAGCAATCCGAAAACGAAGCGGTTGGAGAAGTGCTGCGGGGATTGCTTTGCCCGAACAAGAGACCCCACAAAAATGAGCCGATGTGTGTGTCTGTTTCTGTTGGGTTTAGGATTAGGATCTCGGTTTTATGCAGATCGCAAGCTCCAAGCCATACCCGAAGCTAGATCAGCTTGGACCAAGACCTCAGGATCTGCGACTGCACCATCTGCCAGCGCCTCTTGGCTTGTGACGCTCGTTGCTTTGGGATTGGAGGAAAGCCCATCAGTATGACAGTGATGATGATGCTGCTGATGATGATGATGATGATTCAATGACGATGACGATTAGGATTCAATATGATGTTTATGATGATGATGATGACGATGATGATGACGATGATGATGACGATGATGATGAGGATGATGATGGTTATGATGATGGTGATGATGATGGTGATGGTAATAATAATGATCGTTATCCACACTATTGTTAGCGTTCCTTTGTGCCTAGCCCCTCTTCGACCGTTGTGCTCAGCCCCAAGAACCAAGCCGACCAGAAAAGCACATCCATCCTCCGAGCTCGAAGATCGAAATGGTTTAGGGTTTTTAGGGTTTAGCGCTTCAGATGTGCTGCATGTGCAGAGCCAAAGTCCCAGCACTCAACGGCCCAGTGCGTTCCGGCTTCTTCTGTCGCCCAAGCGACATAGGAGTCCAGCGTGTGGTGGTACATGGTAATTAAAACGGCGATGGGCGCTCAGTCGCCCGACTGCTAATTCCCAAACCCCTCAAGCCCGAAACCCACAAATCCCGAAGCTTAAACCCCTACATGCTAAGCTCTTGAACCCTGCACTTTAACACCCAATCTAAAACAGCTTTGGGCCAAGGCCTCCACGGCGCGCCGGCACAGTGGGCCGCGCTCTTCGCAAAGTCTGCGGTGCCTGGCGTGGAGTGATTTGGGGTTTAAGGGGTTTATAAACAATGTGACAGTTTTTTTTTGTATGGGGCGTTATGGTGCTTTGTGGGGCTTTGGTTCAGCGTCCAGTTTTGGGGTTGTGGGCTTGCAAAGAGCCCAATGTTCGATTCCTTGCTTACGAGATCTACCTTGAGTCATATTACGGGCTCCTTCATGGTGCAGAGCATATGCGGTAGTTCCTGGGTATTGGGCTTTTTGATTGCGGGCCTTGTGCGTCCTGTGACCGGCTTTACGCACGTCGGTTTTCTATGTTGCGGTTGATGTTGCAGTTGCCACTGCTTCTGTGCTCTTCGCAGTGCGATGATTGTCATAGCAGTCTTCGGACCCACATCGTGAAAGCTCTCGTGATGCGATGTGGCAGAAGCCGACAAAGGTTTCGACCAGAGTCTAGCTGCTGCTGACAACGGGAAACCTAGCTGGCATGGGAGCCCTGCCTTTTCCGTGGCCTCTCTCGAGGGAGATGGGGTGGGGGATGGGGTGCAGCACCCACCCTCTCCGTCTACCTATTGGACAAGCGCTCGAACATTGGCTCAACAGTCTTCGGGACGCCAGGCTCGAGGACGGTTGCCGGAACAGGTCGCCATTCTGAAGCACATGATTTTGAATGGCCTTGAGGTTGCCTCCTGATATTTCCGAGGTCAATGCCGAGATGCCGTGCTAAACTACTGTTACAAGCACTTAAATTGGAGCCTCTTTGAGCCCGCTGCTGGAGCGGTCTCACAAGCTCCGACACAGGCCTAGCAGACAGATTGAACCCACCACCAAAGAAGCCATTACTTCAGACCACCGAATGTTCGTTTACAACACACGTTTCGCAGACCAGATCCATATCACATCAGGCCCTTTCCGGTTCTAGCTCGAGCCCCTGGCTTCTAAAGAAGTAGTATGGTCTACATTACATGAATAGCGTGCGTACACTTTCGAACTTCTCCCTGGATTTTGTCGGAACACCAAGCAGGACCGACATGCCTGCCGTGTAGGTTGGGCTTGGCTGTCTCTTGGCCCCAATCCAGACGCGCCGTAAGGCGTAAGCCAAGGCCTGAACGATGAAGCCTTGACAGTCTAATGTAGGAGTCTAAACAATTACCTCTACTATTTTGGGGGTTTCCTAGTTATAACTATAGTGTAATGGCCCCGCAAAACCCTATTCTAATAAATTAAGGCCCCTACACCCTAAGCCCTTCTAGTAGCCCTTATAGAACCCTTCAAGGAACCCTTTAAAGGATCTCCCCTCAAAACCCGATTCCAATTATTAAGGCC